CGCGGTCTCTAATGTTGCAGTATCTTGCTGGACTTACCGGTGACCCTGCAGAGCACACCATAGATCCTGCATAGCCCACCTGAGACTCACTATGGTGGGCTCTGCAGAGTCCCAGGTGGGCTGGTCGACAGGGTCCCTTTCCCTGTACCTCCTCCTAACTCATCTTACCTGCTGCTGCTGGGGCCCGACCTCCTCCACCCCCTCCCCCATCACCTCTGCCATGCTGCCCCTGGTACAGCTGATTACCCATGTAAGAGGCCCCCCAGGCTGCCCAGATCCCTCACATGGGTACCAGCTGTACCCCCCTGATGGTGGTGTTCTATCAAAGGTTGTGACTACGTTAGAATATGTGACCGGTGATGTGGTCACACGTTTTAACATAATCCTGCCCAGTTTTTCCGCGGTGTGTGACCACCAATAGATTAAGCATTCCAATGCTTTGTCATGCAATGCCGATCTGCCCTGGAACAGCTGAGAAAGCATTGGAATGCTTCACCTATTTCACCGCCGAAAATCTGGGCGAGATTACGTTAAAATGTGTGACCACTTCACCGGTCACACATTCTAATGTAGTCTCAAACTTTAATAGAACAGAGGCCTGTCTGTAATCATTTCATCAGAGAAATAGATTATAAGAGGGGACATTACAGTGTTTCCTAATAAAGTGTTTCCTAATTACATGAAATAACAGCACACAATACCCCCCCGATCGGACTCACCCAGCCAGGATCGCAGCAGCCAGAAGGTGTCGATGTGTGCACTGCAGGGGGCGGGGCGTGTGACACGCTTCTCCTCTCCCGCCGCCTGTTACTAGGGACGTGGCCGGGAGAGGTGAGGCACAGGACCCACCCCCTTACCGAGAAGCCCGTCGGCAGTGCGGGGCCCTGGTGTTCTAACACCGGGTTTTTCTGTCCCCTAAACATAAACAAGCAGTTCACCCTTGCAGTGCGAGAGCAGCCTTACTGGATGGGGAAAATGTTTATTTCCCTGGAGCTGGGCTTTAAATTATACAATAGAATAACAATATCCCCCTGGAAGAACTGCGCTCTTTTTAAATGAATGCCCTGCCCCTAATTAAAGTACATTCTCCTTCTACAATAGCTTGCTAAACATACAGAAAAAAAAAAGTCTGTGAATTTTTTTTTTAAATGTGGGCATGGCATTGCTCCTGATTTCTTGCATTGTTTGCTATTATTAGACCACTTATGTGGTGCAAAAGAGGAATAGTGAACAAAGATGCTTATTATTTTACCAATCCTTTATTCCTGTATGAAAGAGAGTAAAGGTTCCTGGCATACCGACCAGATACCCTGATAGAAAGGTAGAAATGAAAGGTACAGAAAAAACATGTATTATCAAAAATTGGAATAATAAAGTATATAAAAATTCGAATTGTTTTCATACAAATGTTCATGTAAAAGAAAAGTAAGTCTATTTATATAAGTCTGTTTACCTTTTTGTTCTTTGTTCAGACCATTAATGTCTTCTGTCCTAGAATCCAGCATGAGCTGTAGGAAGTCCACACGTCCCTGTTGATTAAAACATAACAAACAGACATGATGTCATACATCGAATTATATAGTATAGCAGGGCTCAACATTTCAAGTCCTAAGTTACTAGCCAGGCCTTAATAGTTACTCGCCACAAGTTTTCCCACTAACCCCTACCCTGCCCCGGCCTAGATTGTCCCTGTACGCCCGCCAAATATGACCCAGGGAATAGTAACGAGCTGATTGGCAGGCTCCTGTCCTCCTTCTATGCAGTGGAGCCCGGGTCCCTGTAGGGAAGGAGTCTGCCAATCAACTGGTTACCACGGTAAGTGGACCGTGACATTTTAAAAAGTTTTTAATCACCTTTTTATTTAAATTGAATAATTGTTTATTATTTTTTATTTATTCTTTAAAATTGTATTTATTTTAGGGCTGGTAATGATTAAAATGTTCGTGTGCGATTAATCGGAATTTTTAAAAATCGATTAATCGAATAATTTCGATTAATTATAATGCACATACAGATCCAACTACATTGGCCTATACACATACAGCACAGCAATGAAGTAATAAAATGAACTAGGATCACACTAATCCAGCACGTTATTATTCTCACGTGCCTCACTCAATATGGCCGCCGCTTGAGTGGGGCAACTCAGAATAATAACGTGCTGGATTAGTGTGATCCTAGTTCATTTTATTACTTCATTGCTGTGCTGTATGTGTATAGGCCAATGCCTTGGCTGGCGTTCGTGCAGAAAGTTTCTTGGGCAAACTCACCGGCCCAAGTGGCTCCATCGGCTATCGAAGGGGGGAGGGGTCCGGTGACATCACGGACATCGTCGTCACCGGACTCCTCCCCCCTTCCCTTCGTTAGCCGACGGAGCCACTTGGGGAAGTGGGGAGGAGTCTGGTGACGTTGATGTCCGTGACGTCACCGGATCGCCAACGGGACTCCCGGAAGCCAGCGGAGAGGTGAGTGTTTTCATTAGCGATCAAAATAATTTTAATCGATCAAAAAGTTTAACGATTAATTGAGAAATTAATCTTTTATTTTCACAGCCCTAATTTATTTAATTATTTTTTTAACAATTTTTTTTCCCCACTTAACTCTATCGCTTTCACACAGGAGCTAACAAACCCCTGTGTGATAGCATTTGGAGGTGACAGGTTCTCTTTATTCAACCTGTCACCTCCAACAAAGGAGTTCTAGCACAACACTGTGCTAGAACTTCAGTGACAGGTGAGAGGGGAAGATGGCTCTCCCCTCTGAAAAAATGGACAAAAACTTTTTGGGGGCCAATGTGTGTGTCAATGTGCTCTATAAATGTGAATTCTAACCATTAAAAACCTCTGCATGTGTGTTAATGCTCGTTAACAAGCGCACATTGAAGCACGTGTGTAAATGGACCCTTATGGAAACCTGTACTGAATGTAGTAGGTAAGCTGTTTTTGTTGACCTCTCTTTCTAGCTGAATATATATTTTAATGCCATTCTCTACCCCCACCATAACGTCAAACATCATGCAGAATACTTCATTTATATACAAATACTGAGTCGTTCCTGTGTCTAATTTAGTTTTTTTGCCTATACCATTCGGAAGAGAGAAAAATCTTTAAGGGTGAATTCACGTTTACATTGCATATTGACAGGCATTGTCTTTCATATTAAAATGCGCATTGACAGGTGAAAAAATGGACACAAACTTTTTTGGGGCCAATGGGTGTCAATGTGCTCTATAAATGTGAACCATTAAAAACCTCTGCATGTGTGTTAAAGGTCGTTAACAAGCAGACATTGAAGCATGTGTGTAAATGGACCCTTATGGAAACCTGTACTGAATGAAGTAGGTAAGCTGTTTTTTTTTTTTTGTTTTTTTTGAAAAATTATTTTTATTAAAGTTTTATGTTACA